TCTGGTCGCCATGGCCGCATATTTGTTTGATGGTTCGAACCCTGTCAACTTCTATTGACCCGTATAGAAAGATCAAGTTCGAACTTGAATTCACTTATTAACCCGCGCAGCATCCCAAGACGTCACGTGTGTACCAATAACATGCTCGCCGGGGCCTATACGGGTGTTTTGGGGCATTTCGTAATTATTTATTGAACATTGTCGACTCCTACTTGCTTAGAAGGATCGGATTCATATTTAATAACCCGCGCAGCATCCCTAGACGTCACGTGTGTACCAATAACACGCTCGCCGGGGCCCATGCGGGTTCTTGATTGCTTTTACCCTTTTTAGTATACCTATGTGTATACAAACTACGGTACACATGCATGGGTATTTTGAAAGTATTTGTAGACGTCTTCTGTCCGCTTGCATAGAAGTTGCGGATCCGGTGGTGTGGCGTAGCAGCTTCTGAATAGAGTTGTTCGCTTCTTCATACAGGTAGACTGTCGTGCACTACTCGTTTCTTTCTACAGGTGGATCGTAGTGCACTAACTAATCTCATGCCTTAGGTTATAGATATTGCTATCTACAGTTTCATTGCATCATTATTATAGACGGCTCATTAAGTATATGATAGGCTTCCTACAGCAGTTCGTAGGAATCTGCCTTTTGTTGCATTCTTCATTTATATTCGTAGGAGAATTCATCATACTTGTAAAATACCCAGTACCACGACTTGTGAGCACAATCACTATGTCAATTACAAATTTGAGGTTACTCGTAAGGGATCCACCATCCATGCAATATCTCTACTACTATTATTTGTAGGTGGATTCATCATCTTTTATATGCGCATTAACATAGACTAGACTGCTGAATGGATTGCATTCATCAACAATATCCCCATATATGTTGATTGATGATTTATTACATTTGCTTGTGTATTTTTAGCAATTGTGACATTCGTTGTTTGTATCCATGAGATATCAAATGTCGGTTATAAGGGAGTTGTTACTTTCGCTTCTTAGCCATTGTCTTCACTCATGAGCGGGCTAATGTGTTTGCTATGTTTCTTGTAGAGAAGTTAGATCTCTATACCTCCCCCAAGAATAAATCATATCATTCGTTAGAGACCCCATTCTGTAGCAAGTGGTATTCAAGGCTCTTTGTGGCGGGCATCCTTATTCATACATGAATCTCCTGGTCATTGCTCCTGAGTGAAATATATGAATCCTTGCTTGTTCATTTGAATATCAAATCCCTCCACTTGTAAGTGACAAATGTATTTGCTTGCATGTATTTTTGTATTTGTGAAAATTGTTATATATTTGTGAGATATATAACCATTAGTTATCATTGATTATAGGTGGACTATTTTTCTTGCGACCTCTCCACTTTGCTTGTGCATGTGTTGCATTCATTGTGTATTGCTCCCCCAATCAATTGCAAACGGCTCGACAGATTTGTTTATGATTCCCTTGAGATTAGCTACAAACCAACCGTCATTCAAATCTTCTTATCATTTGCAAATAAATAGATCGTGCAAGTTCTTTGGCATTGGAGATGATTTACAATATGTTTAGGGGCTTAATATTCAACATTTTCTTGATATCCAATTCCATTAAACATGAAGACTTGTTATCCTTATTACACATCAAACCCTTCTAATTTCATTTGATTGCATGAGTCTTTATCATCATTTAGTGAGTGGATGATATTTGTAGGCTTTATATTCATTGCAAGTCTCTCCTTTCATCACAAGTCCCATATATGTTCCTTTGCATTTTGTTCATCAACATCTCCTTGTTGATTATTTCTTGCAAACAAATAACATATCATGACATGGGATTTGATTAAATTATTTATGATTCATCACTATTTGTAAGCAAGTGGAGCTTGCAAGTCTCATATTATTCACAAATTGATTCAAGTTTGAGTTATTGTAGTCTTTTGCAAGTTCAAGTGTGAGTCCAACTTGAGCTTATGCCCACAACACTTGATTCATTTATTCTTTATCATTTGATTTTCAAATCTAATGCAAGTTCAAGTCATTTGCAATGTCCAAATCAAGTTCACAAGTTTGCTGCCAACTTGTACAAGTCCTTGTTCAAATTTGATTGAAGTTCAAGCCTCTTTTTTTTTGTGGTTAATTTAAGTTATTCAATATGATTTGGTCCAAGCTTAAGCATCATCTTAGGTCCACAATGCAAGTTCATTTGAGTACAAGTTTAGTGTCCAAACATTGTTCAAAGTCCTTGGATTTTCAATCCAAATTTCGGCAGCCTCCCGGCGTCTCCCCCGTTTAGGGGAAAAACCAAGAGGCAACCTTCCCCTCGACGCTACGTGAGCGCTTCAGGTAGGTGTCAAAAATGACACAGCGGTCGCATTTTGTATTTTTTATCCCCGCCCGCTACGTGAGCATTTAAGGGTGTTTTTGTTTTTATTATAAAAAAAAGACACGTTAGAAATAAAGCACAGATTTCCCCCCTATGCACCACATGGGCGTTTGGGTGTACTTATAAAAAAATAAAATAAAATAAAAACACATTTTTTTATCCCCATCGCCACAAGCGTCGCACCAGTTTCTCGCCCTACAACGCTACTTGAGCGCCTTGGGGGTTTGCCGGCTCGTTGTTAGCATTGAGGAGGGATCCTTAAATCGTCGCAAGCATCGCACCGGTTTCCCGCCCTACAACGCTACGTGAGCGCCTCGGAGGTTTGCCGGTTCGTTGCAAGCATCGAGAAAAGAATCTTTTTTTTTTTTTGCTTTCTCTTTTTCTTCTTTTCTTTTTCTTTTTAAATAAAATAAACATAAAATATATACCTAAGACTCTATCGGGTAGGGGTGAGTGAGTTGGCTGAGTGGGGTGAGCTTTAGGTTTAAGTGGGCTAAGTGGAGTGAGTAGACTGAGTTGTGACTGAGTCGGGCTGAGTCAGAGTGAGTTGACTTAGGGATTAAAGGAGCTGCTCGGTTCGGCTATGAGAGGGGATCGGGCAAGAGGGTGGAGGCGGTCTGCAAGGTAAGGAGAACTTCCTTCAAAGGGGGTCGGGTCTCTGGATCGGAAGCAGCAAAGGGGGTCGGGTGAGGAGAAGAGGCCGACGGCTCAGGGAAGGTGGACGCCTGGCTTCGACTTGGTGAGGTTCGGGAGAGGCAGAGAGGTCGGAGCTTATATTGTGAGGGCGACGGGATTTGGTCGGAGAGGAAGGAGATCGGCGGGCTGAGGTCGGCTATGGGAAAGGGGGAGGTGGAGCTCGGCTTCGGGAGGAGGAGTTCGGTCGTGGCTTTGGAGGTCGGGACTCTGGAAGAGGAGGTGAGAGCTTTCGCGTGTGAAGGCAGAGAGCGAGTGAGAGGCCGAATGCTTCTCTTGGTCGGGTATTTAGCGACAGGAGCTGGAGTGAGATCAAGGCGAGCCCATGCGCGAATGGATGTTTTCGGCGCCGTTGCAGACTGCGGCACTGTAGTAAGCGGCGGGTATGGGTTTTGGATTTTAACAGGGATTTGGCAGAAGTATGCAATTTTTTTTATTCCCTATTTTTATTCCTTGGTAGAGGTCAACAGAAGTCGAGGTACTTCTATAAGAGCCTGTATGAAAGAGGTCGAGAGAATCCACCAAGGATGTGAGACCTATCCGCTTCGGGTCCGGGTCAACCCGACACGACCCGAATGACCCGTTTCCAACAAAAAAATGGCTAATTTTCGGGTCAAAAACGGGTCAATCCCCTCTTTTCGGGTCAAAAACGGGTCAATCCCCTCTTTTCGGGTCAAAAACGGGTCACTTTCGGGTCAAAGGGTTAACCCGAACCCGACCCGTTTCGGGTTCGGGTTGACACTAACCCGAAATTTTCGGGTCGGGTTCGGGTCGGATTTTCGGGTCGTGTCAAATATTGACACCCCTACTCCCTAAGCCTAGCCAATAACCCCCTTTAAATAACTACAACCCCAATTAAACACATTAAAAGTTTTCCTAAATATTTCTCTTATGATTTCTCCTCCGTGCATAGTGAAAACCAACTCCCCTAGGCCCCACAAGAGGGACTGAAACCCCTTCCCTTCTGCTATGGTTCCCGCCTAGCTGGTTTGTTGGGTTCGGTTGGTCTGGGCCAGATAGCGGGAGCTGGCTCCCGCTCTCCTCAGGCATAACAACTTCTAGCATAAGAAATCGTGAGCACTATAGCAAAGCTAACGTAAGCATATCTTAATTCAGATTTATTTTTTTCTGATTCAAATCAGGAAATGGCATCATTCAACTAGTCCCTCACACTGCATAAATCCGAAAGAAATTTTTGTGAAAATTAGATGAAACAAGATTTAAAAGTACAAACGGTACTATAATTTTTTAAATTCAAGTTCATGACGAATTCTGACTCAAAAAGAAAAAACCTTTGCATTGGATTTGAGCAGATAGAACACAAATACCATTTAAACACTGCCAAACACTGAATAATCCAATTAATATCCAAGTTAATCTGGCTAGCTTGGGAGTAGGATTCACATTTCCATAAACTGATCAGTTTCATTAATGTATGTACATGAAAGTTAGTTTTGTCAGAACTGAATAAAACTTAACCTAGCCAAACTTAATAAATGGTCATGCATCTAAGTTGCCTGATTTCAAATTCATGGTTTTTCAGAACTGAATAAACCCCAATTGATTTTTACTTTGTGAAAACAAATATTGATCAACTTAGTGTTGTTGGGGTTTATTCAGCCCGACTTAAATCAACCAAAGACCAAATGATACTAGATTATATCTCTTCACCCTTAAATAAAAATAATAATAAACTAAACCAATTGGGGTTTGGTCCTACTTTGGATAGCTTGACTTCATTTGCATTTTGGTTAAATAGTTCGACACAATATAATTCAGAGAGTGTTCAGTTTTTAAGCAAACTAAATCTGCCCGCTCCCTTCTACGATTTTTCAGAACATTACACATGCAAATAATTAAGGGTTTGAAGGTTGGGGAACAAAACTACCAAAAACAGAAAAAACAAGTATCCGCAAGAGAAGAACCCACCTTTTCCCGCATTATACTTTTCAAGAATGTTTCTTTCTCATTAGTGGGCAATGAAGTTGGCCAGCCAATCTGCAAGTAATGCAGAAGAGATATTACTAAAACTTCAAACAGATTTATTCATTCCATCTAACATGCTGAAAATAAATAAAATTAAGCTTCCACAATCCATGAAGCAATAAATGAAAATAGGAAGAAAGAACTAAAAAATATAAAACAAGATAAAAATAATACATCAACTAACTTCCCAAAAACTCTTCAATTTATATATGAATAGTCTAAACAAATATTTAAAGTTTTGCATGCTACCATAGGTTGGCGAATACCTAAATTTTTAGGATATCACAATGCTGCAGATAAAAAAGGAAAAAATGTGTCATGCATAACCAAGGATCAAAAATACTTTCTGAAGATATATTTTTCTGATATGGAAGAAAATTTGCACCATATGAATAAAAAAATTAACTTGATTGAGGTCAAGGGCTGTTTGGCTCACAAAATTTTCTGAAATAATCTCAAGATATACCGTTTAATTAATACTAAAAGATGTTTGACTAGATCCCATATTGAGGAACTCTGAATAGCATTAATGAACAAATTTGAGGTAGTCAAGATAGATGACAAAATGGACACTATCTAGATTACCTCAATATTGACAGTCAAAAGAAAGTATAAAAAATAAATCATCATAATTATCAGTCAATCTATAAAGCACTGCATTCTTTAATTAAGGTAGCAATAAATCAAAAATATTTTATTTGAAAGATAATAAACTATCAGCATAACACTACTATTTAGATTACATAGCTTCCGAGATAACTATGAAGAAAATAAGCCCTTTAATTCAAAAGACAAAAGAAATGATTGACGAACAATTCACTTCAAATTATGCCAAATTCACCGGTAAGCTGTTCGTGGCTAAACCCCACAAGTAGCGTTCAAAAGGCAACCAAACATGAAATAGACAGGATTCAAAATCTGATAAAATATACATCCATTCAGTTCATAATAATAAATAGCATTTCGTTGTATGCTGTTTAGACTATGGAAGATGGCATAACTGTTGAAGATAACAACGGGAAAAAGCACATTATTTCAAAAATTCTAGAAATTTTAAAGGAAGATAAGAGCCTAAGATGAAGCAAGTATGTAAAAATTGCCAAATTAAGGATTCAGTGCAGAACAATGATTTTTGGCTTTCATTTCAATATTAGCGTTATACATATCTCGCAAAAGAAAAAACTATATTAAGTTGAAATACTCAAATACAAGTTGGACTCGGATATGTCCAGAAAAGTTAAAAATATGAACTCCGGAAGGTTAGATAGTTGCATGGAGATGCATCTCAAGCCTAAACATGGCTAGGAAGGATGGTTTTGGATGGTTAGATTCAATGGATAGCCACCTCCCAGAAGTTTCCCCAAGAAGTGGAAGGGAAACACAGGTGACATCTGACATGGATTGCCGAGCACATGGCCCCTAACGGTGATCAGGTCACAGTACATAGGGAATCAAAGAAATGGTTCCAAGCATGGTAGGCCGATACTTTTTCCAAATTAATTTGTTTTCCCAGGAAACATATCACTTGAGCCGAAAATGAGATAAATTTGGCATTTTTCACATTGCAGCCAGATTGAAACCAACATCACCTGAAATAGATCCAATCTGCCAATCTTAAAACCTTGCTTCAAATATTAAGATGTTGGGGATCATAATAACAGAAGAATTATTAAAGAGGCTTGACTTGGGATCATGTCAGTAACATCCTTACCCTGTTGAAAAATAATATCAGCATCCTTTCTTCATCACCAGCAGCCTTCCTGTGGATTTACATTTTGCTTATCTGAGCTCAGTACAACTTCAGATTTCAAAAGACCCAATTCAAACAGAACATGGAGAACTTCTGGCATGATAATAGAAAATAGCTGGTACAGCGTGTTCACTTTGAAAAGTCACAATTAGCGGATAAGGAATACTTGTAGAATGCTATACCTTTTCAAATCTGCAAATATTGGTTCCGTCCAATTTGCACAATCAAGCCCAAGTTTCTGAAATGCTGAAAAAAATAATAGTTTAGGTCAGGTCCTGGGAAAAAAAAGTTTTCATTTAAGATTATCATTTCAAGGGAACAATAGAAAGTAACAGCAATATCACATAAGAAATTACAAGAGCTAAATTATACTAAGCTCTTTGAAAAAAAAATGATTTGATGCTGGAATGGTGCTTGTACTGCATAATTCGCACCTACATTGAATGCTTGGCAGTTGCCTAGGCGATATACATCTGCAAGGACCCTGAAGGTTGAAAAAAAATGATTATAAGAACTAGCAGCATTAATACATTCCAAGCAAAAACAATAAGCTTCTTTCTTAGAGTAACAAAATATCTATAGCTATAGCAAGCTCAGATAAGACAAACTTGCATAACTATCAGCAACTAAGATACTAGAAAATGTGATATCCATGGCGAACAGCTATCATATAGGGTATTCTTCTACATATTGTGCTGTGATCAAATTGGATCTTAATCCAAGTACAAGGAGATGACAATCTTATATCCAGTAAACTATGTTCTTATCAATACTAGCAAATATAATAATAGCAGCAGAATTTATCAGCTAATACAGCAGGGTGGGAAGGTTACAGTGCTGAGGAAAATTTGGACTTTCACCGATGAGAAAAAAAGAGCAAAAACACAGTAGTGAATTAAAGAATTGACGCCTTAAAACATCTTTAGAGCCTCTAGGAGGGATCCCATTGAGGCAACACATAGCACACAAGTTTAGTAGTTTTATAGTGCCGTACCTTCCATTAATTTTAATACCATCGAAGATCTTCCTTTACAGTTGCATTAATAGTTCCACAACAGTGTTTAAGTGTTGAACAAACTTCAATATTGCAGCATGTGCTGCTGCGATAACAAAAAGCAGGCCAACCTGCTAAAAAATAAACTCATGCGCACATTTCAACAAATGGCTGATGTCAAAACTGAAATCAAGACAACTCCAAAGCACTTGAGCAATCCTCAAAGGCAAATTAAACTTGAATTACGCTGCTCTAGGAAGCATACAACTAATTGAAAAAGTGCATCATTTTAAACGAGTGTCACTTCACTCTCAAATTCAAACCCGTCATCACGTTGTGTGCGCGCTCAAGGGGACCAAGAGGACAAGTAATCTCTTGACATTTTTATATTAATGAAAAACTGAAGAAAAAAATAACAGCCGAAAGAAAAAATAAAAAATGAAACAAAAAGACGAGAAAGTAGAAGAAACAAATAAAGAAAAATAAAGGGAAATTCGAATGAATATTTCAAGTATTCTCGAATCATTTCCCAGTTTTATAATTTGAAAAATAGAAATATAATGGCCAGGTAGAGCTCTTCGAACGAGAATAAAAACCTGATCCTCCACATAATAATAGCAGAGTCAACATGACTTGCATCCTAATGGTAGTTTAAACTAAAATAACAAACAAAAGTCTTAAACAAAATTCTAGGCTACCCTACTTATAGAGCGATATCATATATCCAAATATTTTCATTTGATCATCAACATGCAAAGAGAGAAGTCGACGAGATCTATGTCCCTACAACTCTCAAAATTATCAAAGTTCTAAAACAAAATTATGTGGGTTACGGTGTCTAAATGAGAAAATTGTTAGTACCAATCTTTAGGTCTGATCCTCCACATGTCAAAGGCTAGTCAACATGACCTCCAACCTTAAAAATTATTCATGTGACAAAAGAATGATCATAAGTTTTCATGAGGTCTAATCAAACAAGTTCACATCATGCTGACTAGGGATCAAACATCCAAACTCAATTCTCACTAAAATGTTTTAAATACATTTGCATAAGAACTTTAATGCTTCATTCGAAGAAATTTCATTTAAAATTAAAATTCTTATGGTTACCATGCCTATAAGGCGGGGTTATAATCTCAATCGTCAACATAGATCCAATAGATGCCATAGTAGAATTGACAAGTCTCATGTCTAAACTATCATTCACTCAACAAAAGAGTGATCATAAAATATTTAGCCCTTGTTCAACCTAACAAATTTGTCACATCACGGGCTAGGAATCAAATACTCAAATCACAACAAGTCCTATTATAATATTTTGTTTTAGATTTGCAAAAGACCTTCGATGCATTTTTCAAGCAACATTCACTTAGCAAAGTTGTCATGATAACAAGTCTTGAGACAATCCTTTTTATATAGGGGTAAAGTTGATGTGGTTTATAATATAATAAATGACAAAATGAATTCCAATGCTACACAAATTCTCAAACCTGGTCCACCTCAAGCATAATAGATATAATTCAAAGTATCAAGAATCACAATATTACTATAATAAGCGTGATTATTGCACCTCGATGAAGCACCCAATTGCAAATCAAATACGAAGTTTGATGCTTCAAGTATCTCTTTGATTGGCGTAGTTACCATGCATTATAATTGGAGGGGTTCATTGCAAAAATCAAGCTCATATTATACAGATAAATGATTTAGACATTTTCCCCCGATAATGAAAGTTTTGATATCAAACCTCAATTGGAGGAAATTTTCATCATAAAAATGCAATCAAATTTTAAGATAACTTGCCTCAGGCTCCCTTCTTGATGATGATGCATATAAAAAAAACAAAATCCCAATTAAAGGTAACTCCATCTTTATTCTTTCCACCAACTAAAATATATAAAAATAAGAAGTGCTCTAAGTAGTGACTAATAGTTTCAAGCATAGAGAAACTACCCATTCATCCATAACATTAGTATTCTAAGGATGAATAACTTATGTTTTACCAACATCACAACAATCAAATATCACATCAAGTGAATTCATATAATTACACTCAAAAATATCAAGAGTAAGGTATGTGATGCAACAAAAAACACAAGTATTGCAAGCTCAAGTCAATACTATTATAAAAATGGACACCACCCTACAACTTTAAATAAAAAGGACACAACACCTTACAATAAAACACTACTCAACGACACCTTACAACTTATATATATTTTAGAGAAGAAAGATGCAAATGGAAGTGATAACCGTGGAGAGAAGTAGGTAGGTCCAAGAAGAAGTAGAAGAATTAGAGTAGATGAATATAGCTCGCAAGCTAGATAACCCGTAGGTTATACATTCCAAATATTTTTACACCAAAAACCTCACTTTTTCAATAGCAGCAAACAGCCCTATATATAGGGAAAAAGGAATCCAAACAGCCCCCCAAAAGGTGCCACCCCAAGCCTCTAATGGAAGCAGCCAAAGCATGGGGAATACCTAAGAGAGAGACACGGTCAGCCCAAAAACCAAACAACCAGAAAACCAACAGCCAGCCAAGAATCCGAATAGCCAAAACATAGGAAATTCCCAAGAGAGAGGCACAACCAGCCAAGGAACCAAACAGCCAGAAAACCAACAGCCACCTCAGGATCCAAACAGCCAAGAAAAACCAATCAGCCAAAATAACAAAATACCAAGTAGCTAAGGGAAAATGGGCCAAGCCCAATAGAAGAATTTAAGCCCAACAACAAATGCCCAAAAACCAAAGAAAGCTAGCAAACCAAAGGAACAGCTTTTAAGAATTACAAATCAACATGGGGAACACCAATAGGTGAGTTTTGCCTACATCAATTCTCCCCATGTGGAGAATTCTCATCTCCTGATGAAATCGACTTTAAACTTCCAAGATGCTCCAAAGGCATCACTTCTGCTTCCTGAATTAACATGTTATACTTTCTTTTGATGATCTCCTTTTCTCATTCAAATTTGGACAAAAGTTGAAGCTTCTTAGAATCGCATTTCTCGGCACATAATTGCAGTTGTCTTTGAATCTTGAGAAGCTCGATCTGTAGAGGATTAGAAGAATATGCACGAGGAACCCATTTTGTTGTAGAAAGATTATCCTCAGGAATCCAAGGCATAGCTAGATGACTTTCTTGATTACCTTCAACTTGTTGTTTGTTTTTATTTTCTTTTTTTTTATAAAAGAAAGTAAGACACTCACAACAACCTAGACGCTCTGATATCAAATTGATGTAACAAAAAATACAAGTATTGCAAGCTCAAGTCAATACTATTATAAAAATGGATACCACCCTACAACTTCAAATAATAAAGACAACACCTTACAATAAAACACGACTCAATGACACCTTACAACTTATATATATTTTAGAGAAGAAAGATACAAATGGAAAGGATAACCATGGAGAGAAGAAGTAGATAGAAGTTCAAGACAAAGTAGAAGAATTAGGGTAGAGGAAGATAGCTCGCAAGCTAGATAACCCGTAGGTTATACATTCCAAATATTTTCACACCAAAAACCTCATTTTTTCAACAGCAGCAAACAGCCCTATATATACGGAAAAAGGAATCCAAACATCCCCACAAAAGGTGCCACCCCAAGCCTCCAATGGAAGCAGCCAAAGCATGGGGAATACTTAAGAGAGAGGCACGGCCAGCACATGAACCAAACAGCCGGAAAACCAACTAGCCCAGAATCCGAACAGCCAAAACATAGGAAATTCCCAAGAGAGGCATAACCAGCCCAGGAACCAAACAGCCAGAAAACCAACAGCCGGCCCAGGATCCAAATAGCCAAGAAAAACCCATCAGCCAAAATAACAAAACACCAAGCAGCCAATGGAAAATGGGTCAAGCCCAATATGAGAATTTCAGCACAACAACAAATGCCCAAAAACCAAAAAAAAAGCTAGCAAACCAAAGGAACGGCTTTTGGGAATTACAAATCAGCATGTGGAACACCAATAGGCAAGTTTTGCCTATATCAATATGGCACTAGGTTTGTGCATTTGATCAGTTTGAATGATTTGATTTATGAAATAACTAAACAAATGGGCTATTCAAATCATTATGGATGGAATTGACAAAGAAATTGTCCTTTTTGTAATGCCGCATCCCCCCTCCTCTTTTATTTAGGATGATTTTTTTTTTTTTTTTGGGGGGGGAGGGGGGGCGCGGCGGCGGATGGCTGTTGTCTAGTGGATGTTTGATTTTTGTGGTTCCCCTTGCTGTGGTTGTTCAGCTTCTGCTCCTTGGTTGTCCTGGTTCCTTTGCTTTAGGATGTTCGGTTCCTGCTCCCTGCTGTCCAGGTTTCCCTTGCTTTGGGTTGTTCGGTTCCTGCTCCCTGTTGTCCCGGTTTCCCTTGCTTTGGGTTGTTCAGTTCTTGCTCCTTGGCTTTCTCGGTTCCCTTTTTTGTGGCTGTTCGGGTGGGGGGTTAACCGTGCCTTTATTGTTGTTTTCTCTCCTCTTTTGGTTTGCTG